TTACGTGTTGTGTCCAATACTGTGTGTGTGTGTGTGTGTGTGTGTGTGTGTGTGTGTGAAACATAGATAGGTAAGTGACACCTTTCATCGTTAACACTGATGCCTCATTGGGTCTTAGTTTCTACCTGTAAATTGACCACATTCAACAAGCTCACTAAAGTCTGTTCTAGGGTAAAGAATCTATGGTTTTGTTGGCTCTACTTCAAAGACTGGTGAATTTTCTAATCAGATAATTTGTCATAATAATCTTTAGTCATAAGCCTCACCTTTGTAGACTTTCTTTAATCAATTCTCTTACTGTGGGCTCCTTCATCCTTTTTCCTTTTTCATGTTGACCTTCTTGAGATGACATTGTTAAAATCATATATTAGTTCAATATAGGCAAACATTCAACAATCTTCAGTTATAATGTGTATACTGCATATTTTAGGCTCTTTTCAATCTGGGATAACATACTAGACATAATTTGCATTCACTGTAAAATACAGATTTTAAAACAAAATTCACCAGTGCATTTTGCCCCTTCCTTCTGTACTATATAATTTTGTTTCGCCTACAAGAATTGTGATAATTTCCCCAAATCTCACTGCATCTCAGTAAAAATTAAAATTAAAAAAATCTTCTTATATTACTTCTCTTAGAGACTATTGAGATATGATTAGAGACTACTGATTCAAAATGTTTCAAAAGGTGATACAAAAATACAAAAAATTGGTCTTTCTTATGATTGCCTTCAAATCCTAACTAGAAGTCACCAGGTTAGGCCCAGTACCACAAATCCAAAATGTAAATGTTTATTTAATCCTTTCAAAGTTTTCCTGCCTAAATACTACTAAAGCAAAACTATTTTCTAGGTCATACAATTAAAAATGGCAGATTAAAAAGCTATGGGTTCCACAGAACTGTACAAGGAGTGAATTGCTGTGTAAACTATGGACTTTAAGTAATAATAATATATCAATTGTAGCAAATGCAAACTGCAATGCAAAATGTTAATAACAGGAAAATGAGGTTGAGAGGAGGAGCACTCTGGTAAACCTGAAACTGTTGTTAAAAAAAAATTTTTAGTGTCTTATAAACTCTATAGGTTCTAATAAATGTTGTGAAAACTGCATAAAACTGAAGCCTTCTCAATGCAATCCATCCTCAATGTCTTTAAAGAGAGAGCACACTAGTTTTCTCTGTCTTGTTAATTTATCCAGTTTTTCACTTTTTTCACTCTCAGCTGAGATCCAGAAAGGCCTTGTTCTCCAAAAGAAAATCTTCTTCTTCTTCTTTTTCTTTGCAAATCTTTCTAAACTTAGGTGTAAATACACATTCCTTCACTCTGATTTAACTATGAATCAATTATGAGTAAGTTAAGATTAAACACTTGCTTTCAACGTCTCCTGTCCTCAGGATGTGATTAACCATGGAAGCACTGCAGAGTAGAAAAGATGACAGTAAGATTTCTGTGCAAACATGAAATGTTAAATACACTAGTTCCTAGGTGGTTTTAGTATGATCTCTTTCAAAAAACTTTTTTTCTATCCAATTGTTAGAAATTTGTGTTCATTCATTGCAAACATATACACTGTGTAATACTAACCCCAAATATTTGGAGCAATCTTGACTTCAGCTCAGCCCTATGAAGCTTCCAATTTTCTTGCTGACCATGGAACTATCCAAGTAAGGACACCTATTTCATAACTTAAATAGAATGATTTCTTCCCACTAACAACCAAAAATGATCTTTAAAAAATTATTACAATGTGAGATAAGAAACCTGCGGATGTCATCCTGGGCAAGTTATTCCTTTCTCAGCTTCAATTTCCTTATTTTATAATATAGTGATAGTATATGAAGACTCATGAGATAATGCATGTTTTAAAAACTGTTCAAAAAGCATTATATATGTTATATAAACTGTAACTACAGTGCAGCATACCTCAGCGTTATTGTGGGTTCTGTTCCAGACCGCTGCAATAAAACAAATATCACAATAAAGTGAGTCATATGAACTTTTGGTTCCCAGTGCATATAAAAATTATGTTTACTCTATACTGCAGTCTATTATGTGTGTAATAATAGTATTAAGTCTAACGAGAAGTATCTACCTTAATTTTAAAATATTTTATTGCTAAAATATGTCAAAATAATTACAATAGTAACATCAAAGATCACTGATCACAGATAACCATAACAAATAATAAAAATGAAAAAGTTTGAAATCTTGTGAGAATTATGAAGCCGTGACACAGAGACAAGAAGTGAAAGAATACTGTTGAGAAAGTGGCACCGATGGACTTAATCATTGCAAGTTTGCTACAAACCTTTAATTTGTAAAAAACAAAAACAAAAACAAAAAAACAAACACAGTATCTATGAAGCACCATAAAACGAAGTATGCCTGAATATTAATATGCTTCTTTGGTCTCAACGAACTTGGTTAAATTTAGCCTTGACAGACCTTCTCACAGCTGGCTCTGTACCCCTGCCTCCAGGACTGGAAACTTGCCTGCCCGCCTCCAGCTCCTAACTCCCCCCTTGTCTCACCCGCTTATCTTGCTTTTAGCAGAGGCCCCTGAGTAGCTTGGTGGAGAAAGTTAAGACTATTAAAGTAGGAAGCTCCTTAACCCCTGACACTCCCCAATTTCCTTGTTGCTCCACCTCCATCTACTTTGTTTGCTCTCCTTGTCTTGAGGAAGTGGAATCTGTTCTCTACTCAAGACCAGTGTGCTTCCCCACGGACTGTGCTTCGTTTGGTCTCTTCCAGGTCTTTGCCCATCAGTCGCTCCCTCTCTGTAGTCTACAGTTCTCCCACTCTATACACTTCACTGCTACACATCTGTTCAAACACCTCCTAGATTCAAAAAAGCTTTTCTTAGACTCAGTTTCTCAACCCAGTGACTATCCTGTCTCCACTCTTAAGTTTTTCTCTTCTTTTGTTCTCATCTCAATTTATACAATTTATATATCCTTGAAAGTTACCTGATACCCTTTAGACAAAAGGTAAAGATTTTTAAACATTTTCTGATTTACTAATAAGGAAACTGATATTCAGAGAAGAGTTTCTATGACTTGTCAGGATTTTCACACACATTAAATGATAGAGGTAAAATTTAAACTCAGATTTTCTGACCCCAAACTTAGTACATTTCCATGAAATCATGACTAGCTTCTTCAATAATTGATCTGTCTCTTCCTTTCTACTTTAATGGCTAATGGATATAATTCAGTCCTTTATTTTTCATTTCTTTCTAGCTAACCTGACATCTCTCATGTTTCTCATAAAACTGGTATCCGACCATCAAAATTAGGACCCTGACAATCCTCTCCTCAAATATTTTCTTATTCTTTACAGTCTAAATTTCTTAACATGGCATCAGGGCCTTCTGCTACCAACTCTTATCTTTCCAATCCTATCAAGCCATTCACTGGGCAAATGTATATTGAGTATCTATTATGTGCCCGGCAATATTCTAGGTGTTGAGTATACAGTGATGAATAAGGCCACAAGATTCCTGTGCTTTTGGAGTTAACATTGTCATTTCTTGTTCTGCTTATATTGAATGATTTGTAACCATACCAACTGGCTGAAACATTTCCTTTCTTAATGATTTTGCTCATGGTAGTACTGTTTGGTCTACCTCTTCCTTCAGTGTTCAATCCAAATTGCCATATCCAACAGGAAAATGTCTCAATCTGTTTCTTTTACATTGTCACATGTAGTTCCTTTACCTCCACAGCAGTCTTTTTGTTCATTTATTCATACAGACATGTAGAAACGTGTTTCACTTATCTTTCCTGTGGTTTTCAAGTAACAAAAGGAAGGAAATCATGTAGTATTCCTTCCTATTTATGTTTTCCATGGTATCTCACATGGCACTTTGCACAATGTTCATTCACACCATGACGATATATATCAGTGAATTAAGAAGTAGAATGGTATGATCTTTGTCAGATAAGTGATCCACCTTAGCCACATCTGCAGGAATAATTCGCTCAAAGATTTCTGAGTATATATACATATTTTTTAATGCACAATTTTTCATCAAAGTTTAAAGTCAGATATTATAATACAGTTATGGAAAAAAATGCTCCTACCAGCTCCATTCTCATCTTTTTTTAAAATTCTTTTAAAATTTTTTTAATTTTTGGTGGTGGGTGGTTGTTTGAGTGGGGGAAGTAATTAGGTTTATTTATTTACTTATTTATTTAATGGAGGTCCCAGGGATTGAACCTAGGACCTCATATATACTAAGCATTCACTCTACCACTGGGCCATACCCTTCTCCTCCAATCTCATCTCTTCCCACTTATACACAAATAGTCTCAATCCTCTTGGCCAATTCTTTAATATTGACATCTGTAACTACAAATAACATAAGCATGTTGCTAATTTTTGACTTTTTAATTTAGATGTTATCTATTGACTTCCCTGAAATGTGAGTCTTTATCTCCCTCTATCATCACCACTCCCTCTGTCATGCAGCACAAACAGGTACAATGCCATCCCTCATGTGTCCCACATAGATTATAATTTTGCTTGGAGCATCAGTGTTTACAGATACATTATCACCATGACCACGTGTGTTATTATGAACACTATTCACAGCCAAACCATATAACATACTACAGTACTTTTCCTTTATTTCCCTGGTGGAAATAATTGCCCAGTTTATATATTTGCTATGAATTTATTCATTCAGTCTAAGATGGATAAAGGCCATCTTAATACATTCAAACTCACTCAAGATAGTATTAATTTGGTCTTAGTGACCAGCTCTGTCCTGGAGCTTCTTGACTTATATTCTGAAGAGTGATCCTCTAGGCCTGCCACACCACTGTTTTCAGGGGGACCCTCTTAACCATCATCCTCAGGGTTGTTTCCCAAGTGGGGCACCATTTCCTGGACCCCATGTCTTTTTCTTAGTTTATTCCCTTATTTGGGTGGTACCCATCCTCCAGGGGCTTCCTAAAAAGGGAGTCACAGAAAATTAAGCTTTTTGAGACTTGGGACATCTGAGAATGTCTTTATTCTACCTTTACATTTAATTTATTATTTGTCCAGATAAGAAGTCTAGGTTGGAAACAATTTTTCCTCAGAATTTTGAAGGCTTTAATTCATTGTCTTCTAGCTTCCAGCATCACTGTTGAGAAATGTCATACTGTTCTGCATCTTGATTCTTCTTATGAAATCTCCTCTTTCTAGAAGCCCTTGGTATATTTTTTTATCTCCAGAGTTCTGAAATTTCACAATGAGGTACCTTAGTGTAGGTTTGTTATTAGCTCTGGTGCTGGGTTTATTTTGATCGAAAAGCTCACAGCCTTGTGTTTGGGGAAGTACTGAGTTATTTCACTGGTGATTTTCTCTTCTCCATTTTCTCTCTGTTCTCTCTGAGCAACTCCTATCAGACAGGTGTTTGACTTCCCAGTCATATGCTCTGGCTTTCCTTCTTTTATCCTCTACTTTCCATTTTTGTACCACTTTTGGAAGACTTCCTCTAATTTATCCCCCAACTCATCTATTGTATTTTTTATTTCCATAATTCTATTTTTAATTTCTAAGGGTGCTTTACCCCCCAAATAATATTTTTTCTAAAATATCATCCTTTTCTTATCTTATACATACAGTAGCTTGTCTCTGAGTGTATTAACAATAGTTTTTAAGTTTTACTGTCTCCCAAAGCCTCTGTTTTCTCCCACTGCTTACTTGTTTCAGTCTCTCTCATGTTAGAATCAGATCCTGGTCATCCTTGTCTGGGTGCTCTCACTAGGAATGCAGACTAAAAGCTGATAGGTGAATGCATGTAGTTTTTATTCACCAAGGACTTCACTGTATGGTGACCTGGCCTTGCTCTTCCAGAAGGAACCCTCAGAGTATTTTCAGATCTTTCTCTTATGCTGGTCAAATTTCCTAGAGAAGACTTCAATCGTGTGTGTGTGTGTGTGTGTGTGTTTACCAGTGTTCCAGAAAAGGGCAAGAAATACTGGAAATCCTAGCACTCAGTATGTAAATTGAATCCACCTGTTTTTTGGAGTGTACACTCTGCATGTCTGTTTCCAGGAAATAATTCTCTCCAGTCATCTGCTGCGGGGGTAGCTGACCTGCTGCGTGGAGTAGGGGAAGGGATCTGGAGGTCCAGCTCCTTCTTAAGCAACCTTACCTGCAACAGAACTTCCAGAGGTACCTGATGATGCCCATTCCTGGATTTTTATTTGAAAAATTTCCCCACAAATCAGGCTCCCTCTCAACTTTTCTCACAGCTGGGTTAGAATTTAGCTTTCTCATATCTTCTCCCAGCTTCCAAAGTTTTGTTGCTGTTGTCTCCACTCTTCCTTATTTGTCTCTGTAAGTTTGTGCCCTTCAAAAATAGATGTTATGATTTGAGTGGAGGAAATGAGCTAAATGCTAATGGTTACTCTGGGGGAGGGGCAAGATAGGGGTATAGGATTAACTACTATGTTTAAAGTAAATAAACAATAAGGATATATTGTACAGCACAGGGAAATATAACCATTATTTTGTAATAACTTTAAATGAAGTATAATCTATAAAAATATTGAATCACTTATGTTGTACACCCAAAACTAATATAATATTGTAAATCAACCATATTTCAATAAAAAATATGTAAAATAAAAATAAAATGCCTCAGGGTATCTATTCACAGTGGAAAGAAGATCCAGATTATTTTTTAATAATGAATTATTTTTTAACATGAGTTTTCATAAAAACAGAATTTAAGGAAATGTATATTTTATAATTCATATTCCCTGGAGGGGGGAAAAATCTGCCATACAGTTACCATAAATGAATAAAAATAAAAAACATAAACAATTAAAAAAATTTTTAAACAAGGACAAATGTTTTAAATCCTAAATTTTAAATAGTAGTTTTAAAATACATCCTGATTCTTGTTTTAGTTAATTCGTTCCCTGTTAAACTGAGCCTTCAGAGTCTACGGCCTTTCAGCTGGCTGGCGCTGCTAATCTCGAATACACCTGTGCCCACGAGGTTCCTGCAGGTTAGGTTTTGCTGCTGAGGAAACTGCCATTGCTAGCACTGAATTTCAATGACTTCCTGCAGGCAAACACCTGGAGGCAATTACCTGTACTTGTCTGCCAGCAGACACAAATATGCTTTGGATAGAAAAACTATACATCTGATTTTTGGAAAAAAAAAAAAAAAGACCAGCTCCTTTGTGTAATGTTTTACTTGAGTCTGAATGAAATGTTAGAATTTTATCCTCTAACCTAGTACATGTTGATCAATCCATGTTTTCAGCACAGAATTTCCCAACATGAGGGATTTTTCTATTACCCTCACCCTCCGTCTGATGCCACAGCTCTTTTGCTCTCTTACAGAATATGGGTCAGTGAAAATGAATGAAGGAAGAAGAAAAATCAATAGCCTATTTTTTAATGTAAAATGGCAACGTTTTAACTTGAGATTTGTTACTAACAGATTTTCCAGTCTATTGAAAGAAGGTCGGGGTTCAGGAAGGAGTTAAAGAATATGTAAAATTATATCCCACTTTATTTTAATATCCATGTGGACTTAGTAATATTTTACACATGGGCTAGAGAGGGTCTCTAAAAACAATCAGTATGATGACCACTACTTTAGCTAAACCATAAAAGTTTTGCACTTTGAGGTAAATATAGATTTAAATTACACCTTTAGAAGTATCAGAAATACCATCAAAATATTTTTTCAAGATTTAAAATTATCTGTACTGAAAAGAATGTTTGAATATTTTTATGATTTTATAGACTGCTGCCTTGGGGTAGATTATTAATTGCATTATGCATGCAAGTGGGCCTCAGTACTTAATCAGTGTAACTTCAAAGTTTCACTTCTTTGTGCTTTTATTCTTATTCAGGCAAGACTAAAAATGATTAGCAAGCTCTGAAACTTCCTCTTATAGAATAATCAAATTTCAACAAAAATTTAATTTCTCTCTCACGCCTCTTTCTATAATCTGTCTCATTTTTACACTTAAGGTATCAGTTTATTTTTTTAATCCTTTTTTTCCTCTGCTAATTTATAATCACAGCTTTCCAGGGCCTTTAATTGTTATTTTATAGATATATCTAACAATTCAGTTCTCCCTAGCATATTTTCCAAATTTCTACTGTACACATTACTATTGCACAAAATTTTAGTTTTGTTTACATGTCCTACCTAGAGCTCCTATCAGAATATAATTGTAAGGCAAATCGTATTTCCCCATAGTTTTAGTATTATAATTAGCTATTGTATTCCCAAAGACTTGATATTACATAAATCAAGGATATGACCAAAAATAGGCTGTAAAAATAAAACTATGAACTACAACTCCCTTTAATGATTTATAAAATACTACAGTGTTTTGTACCAAGCCCTAAAGAACTTTAGAATTGGCAGGAAACTTAGGGGTCAACTTTAACACCTGGATTTCATAGGCAAGGAAATGGAAACCAAGACTTACTGACTTTCTTGGGCTGCATAGCTAGTTATCCACTTCCTGCTTGGTCTTCTGTCAACCTTCTTGTTGCCTCCTAAACACAAGATCTCTGACTTAGGTTCCTTCTTCAGTGTCTGGGCTGTTGTTCCTCCCAATGCTGAAATAGCCTTCAGCTTCTCCCAGCCCTCACTGGCATCACTTCTTATGCAACTCCTGCCTTTCCCTCATGATTGGATGATGCCTGTTTGATGGAGCATTGACAGATCTACTTTCCATTGAATTCCTATGGATTTCACACGTTGAGATAGTACCCATCACTTCTGAGGCTGCAGTTTTAGCTCTGTATCTTCCAGGGACTTCTTGCTATGGATGTTTACATGGAGGGGCATGGGCTTTCTCTGATCTTAGAGCTAAGGCACAATGCTCTGAAAACAGTCCTCTGGCCCACTGACTTTCTCCTGATTACCTCTTTATTACTACTAATTGAGGATAAGGGACGCCAAGGGTTATCGATCACCTTAGCACCATGCAGTCTTCGCAGGTCTGTGAAACTCCCTTTGCATACGACTGCCTCCCTACCTGACAGATTGCTAAGTCTCTAAAGTAAAACACGAGAAAATCTAAACCTATTTTCTACTTCTTTCTTCTGAGTCTAAAAGCTTTGAATAGGGGGCTGGTGTCAGTCAGCTTTTGTTATATAACAAATCACCCCAAAATTTAGTACCTTAAAATAGTTATTTAGCCCACAATTCTGCAGTTTGGCAGTCTGGCAGGCTTATCGAGGTGGTTATCCTGGTCTTGGCTGGGTTTGCTTATGAGTATGTATGATCAGATGCTGGGTTGGTTAAGGCCTGGTTGATTTAGGAAGGCCTCAGTTTGGATGCCTCATGTCCTCATGTAGGTCACTCAGCCTCTAGCAGGCTAGCTGGATCTTTATTTGGTGGTTCTAAAATTCAACAGAAAGAACCAAAATGCACAAAACCTCTTGAGGCCTTGTCTTTGGATTGGAATCGGTACGTGCCCCTGCCATATTTCACTTGTCAAAGCAAGTCAAAGGCCAGCCCAAACTGAGGCTAGGGAAATAGACTCCAAATCTTGATAGGAGAAGCTGAAAAGTCATACAGCAAAGGCGTGTGCATTCAGTGAGGGAAAAAGTTGCTTCCAGTTTTTATAAGACATATCAAAGCAAGCCACAGAGCTCGAACAAAACCCATCTGTACTACCAATACTGGACAAATGAAGACTTCCCTCCATAGGGAAGAGCTAAAAAGAAACAGCAACAAATCACCAGGCATATGAAAAGAACTGGAGGTTCAGAAAAGGGGACAAATTTGAGATAATAAAGTAAATTCTTCCTCACCAACTCTTCTTTATTCACTTCAAGAAATAAAAGACTCTGTGATCTGTATTCTCAATATGATCTGAAAGTACATCACAGCTATCAAAATTAGAGCAGGTAGTAATAAAAAGGGAAGAGTCTGAGAACAGAACAAACAGAATGAAAGTGTTGTAATGTTCGTGCATTTTCCCAAAAGAAAATAAAAGTTATAAATTAGTATTAGACTTTTGATAAGTCAAGAATGATAACTCTAATCTCTAGGCCTATCGTTACAAGAATAATTAATATGAGTGTATTGTTTCCAAACTAGTAGAGGAAAAACCAAAGAATAAAAATAATCAATCCAAAAAAGTTAAAAAAGAAAAAGGCAGGATAAAAAGGAACATAAATAGGTGGCACAACTAATAAAGCATTCAATAAGATGGTAGATTAAAAAAAGTTAGCAATTACATCAAATGGAGATGGACTAAATGATCCAATTAAAAGATAAAGATGTTAAACTGAATAAAAATGTAACACTCAGCTGCTTAGATGAAATGCATCTAAAGCATAAGGGTATATAATGGTTGAAGATAAGATGATTGAAAAAGATACACCACATAACTGTCAACCCAAAAGCTAGTGTCTCTAGATCAGTATCAGTCAAATGAGACTTAAGGCAAAATCTAATCTCTTTACCAGATATGAAGTGATGCACTTTAGTGATAAAATTCCAATTAACAGGGAAGATATAAAAAATTTAAACTGACATATACCCAATACTGCCCCAAAATATATAAAGCAAAATTGGCAGAACTGTAAGGAGAAACAGGCAAATCTTCCATCATACTCAGAGATTTTAGCATGTCTCTCAATATCTGATAGAACAAGCAGACTAAAAGGCAGCAATAATACAGAAGATTTGAACAAAACAATTGAAAAACTTGATCTGATGAACATATGAAACACTGGAATCAAACGACTGAGAACACACATTCGTTTTAATCACATGTGGGACATTTGCAAAATTTGACAGTCTAGTGGGCCACTAAATAAGACTTGGATTGAAATCACACAGTGAATTTTCTCTGATTCAGGGCAGTTAAATGGTAACACAACACAAAAAGATAAATAGAAAAAAACTTATGTGTTCAGAGACCAAGAAATTAAGAAATACAAATCTATGTAACACAAGGATCAAAGAAGACATCACAACGAAAATTAGAATATAAAAATAAAATATTCTATAACAAACTTGCGGGATGAAGTTAATGCTATATTTAGAAAGAATTTTATGGCTTCACAGAAATAAGAAAGACTGAAATCAATGAGCTAAACATCTACTTTAAAAAGTTAGAAAAACAGAACAGTAAGTTACACACAAAAATATATATAAAAGGGGATTGAGTTAAGCAGTAATTAAGACATAGACATCATGAAGAAAATATTTTGGTAACTGTGCAAACACAAAGCCCTTTCCTTTCTCCAGTGAGGAGGACACTTGGTTGACTGATTCAAAGGTTGGAAGGTCGGCCTTTTAAAGAACCTTACTTTAAAAAGCTTGTTTTTGTTTAACCTTTCATAGGACACAAATCTACTCTTGTGGAAGTAGATGAACTATGTCTAGGCTACTCCAAATTCTATCCATCTCTCCTGCTCTGCCCCAGCTATACCACACTGTCTAACTATGAGTGAATGATAAGAGAAGGTGAATCTTCTTTCCAAAGACACATTTGGGTCGGGTCTTGCCCCCAAATTAAATAAAAGCCCTTGGATCCCGTTATATCCAACGTAACACTGGACCAGTCGTCACTCTTCGTCTTTAGTATTTCATATGGCCCAGATCCCAAAAGTCACTGCAGAAATCCAAACAAAGTTTCAAATTGCTGGATGGAGTCCTGCCCTCCCCTGAACCTCTCCAAATAGAGATGCACTGCAAGGGATGAGCTCACACCGAACAGGCCTGATTTGCAGTGGGTTCGGGAAGAAAGAGGGAACGCATGGCAAGCAGCCCGTCCCAGGATCGCAGGGCTCCATGGGCTCCCTGGAACGTGTTCTTCTCCCTCCCTCTCCCTGCCTTCTCAATGCCACTCTTCCATTCCATCCCCAGGGCCTCTCCCTAAAATTTCCAGGATAATTGTGTTTTTAAAATGTACTATTTATTCTCTAATGTCACTGGGCCCTGATTTTCAAATGCTTTTTATATTGAACTTTAAACTTTTGCTAAAGAATTTTAAAAATATAAGTGATAATAATAAATATAATAAAATCATGAAATAATAAAATAGGAGATATTAATGATAGAAAGCAAACATACTGAAATAAAAAAAGAAAGCCGAAAGTTATTTCTTTGACCAAGAATAAGAGAAAAGGCAAAAATAACCGATGTCAAGAGTTTTAAAAAAGATTAAATTATGTAATCCTGAAAAATGACAATGATTATGAAAACATTAACAAAAAATTCTTCTAATACTTTTGAAAAATGTAGATGAAATGGACAAATTCCTAGAGAAAATATGAAATAGACAGAAGAAGAAATAGAACATCTTAGTAGTCTTTTTTGTTAAAGAAATTGAATCCATATTAAAAGCCTACCCTTAAAGAAAACTCCCAATCATTTAAAGAAAGAATGATTTTTTTTTAACTTTTAAAAATAATAGAAAAAGGACTGTTCCTCCTCTTATGAGGCCAAAACATCCTTGATCCAAAAAACCAAAGAAAGTATGAGCAAAAAATTACAGGCCAATTTCACTCACTTACATAGAGAAATACAAGTTTATCTTTAAGGAAATAGCTCACAGAATTAAAGTAGGTTATATACTTTCCATATATTTAGCGGGAAAAGAAATTTAAAAAGGAAAATTTCAATAGGAATATTCTGGAGAAAGAAAAATGGAAAATATCAGATATAAAGCAGAAAACATAAGGCAAGAATCAAGTGAAAATTCATTAGTATCAGAATAAAAGTAAATGAATTAAACCATTCTGTTAAAAAGGAAAAAAACAAAGATTCTAAAATTGGATAAAAGACAAGGAAAGATCTTAACTACCTCCTTCCTACGTACAAAATAGATTTAAAAAATAAAATAAAGATTACTTTTATAATCTCACAAAATTTTTGAGCAGCTATTTTTGGAGTGCTTGTATTTTTGTTTCCTCTAGCAAAGATGTTTTTGAAAATGTTCAGACCCTGTGTGGGGAGTCCCACCCTCCAGGCCAGGCTGGTCTGACTCTGGTCACAGCTGGGAAGGCACTATTCATAGGTGGGTGTGAGATGACTGACTAGGACAGTCAGTTCTGGGGTATTGGTCATCAATACTTTATCCCATTCCTCCACCCCGTATTGGCTCCGAGGTAAAACAAAACTGCCTGGCATTGCACAGGGCGGACTTCCACATTGCTGTTTTTCTTGGCTTCTCAACCAGTTGCCTGAGTGACAATTCCAAGGAAATCAGGGCCTATCCTGTCCTGTTCCAAGGAGCAGGGGAACCTGTTTTACCATTGCAGATAACGTTTTCTTTGGGGATAGTTCTCCTTCATGGTGATCTCAAATTACAGTGCAGCTAATTTGATATTGGTCATGAGAGTTTTTTGGTTAAGAATTATGCCCTCCTTAGACCTAGTGAGAAAGGACTAGAGATTAAATCCAAAATTCAGGACCCTTCCCACCAAAACCCACAATGTAACTGAGAACAAAATAAAATCCCCAAAGCAGAAGTGGTACAGATAGATTTTTGATCACTGTGCTATAAATGTAACCAAAGATTTAAAATTGAAAAAAAAAAAAAAAGCCAAAACCTTCCCTCTTCCTCTAAGTCCAACTAGTTGAATATATTAAAACACCTACCT